TGTGTTTTCAGAGGTGAAGTCGGCTGTGTTGCTGTCAACGAAGAATTCCGTTATTGGTGTGAATGTCGCTTCACCGAAAGACACCGTATTCACCGCGTCCGGTTTTCAAGGTATGTTTTCTGGAATTCTTCCTCGGCAGCATGAAAGACCAAATCGCGGAAGGCGCAGTCCGCGATGATTGGATGGGCGGAGCCTCGCAACGACTATGTTTTCCTCAGAGGCGCGTCCTTGTTCCAGGACTCTGAATAGAGGAAACGCCAGTGAGGAAAGCTATGAATGTCTCCCTATTTCTCCGCCTATCATGGACTATGCTGAGCTTGGGCAAATACTTCCCATAATTTTTGGCTAGTTATTTACCAACTTGCTACTATTTGAGCTTTCCAGCTTTGAATTACTTTATGGAATGGCTTCTTAATGAGCTTTTCATTCGACCCCTCTCAGGCAGCATTAGGGTTTACTATTTGCCATTTTTTTAATTGAGCTCTTCGTCTTTGGGGACCCTCAAAATGCTCTAGGTGCACTTCGACTTGGTGGGGGCACCAAATATAATAGTATTCGGCGATCTTCTTACAAAGCATCTTGTGAAGACCTGTGAGACCTTGTGACCGAAAAGGCTCACTTTCCCAACTTCGTTTTCACAAGAGTTTACAGATCTGACCAACGTAGGACCTGAGTTAACATGAAGCGACGAAAGGAACTGGCGAAAGTGCAAAATGCCCCTCCATGCCGAACAGCGCCCGCTTTTGACTGTAGCAGTGGTTTCACCATTCCACCAATTCCGCCGCGCTGAAGAGGAGACCACGATGGCATGCCGCATCCAAAAAATATTTCTTCCTTCCAAATGACTGTATGAATTTCAGAGATCGCAGCTCTCACGGCCACAAAAGAGAGTATTTTCATCTATGATGGATTCGACAATGTACTGTGGCAATATGGCACCGGGAATGAGGACAAGCGTACTGTTTTTGGAGGAGGTATGAGCTCTTCGCAGTGGGTGCGCGACCTATGGGACAAGCGGCCTTAATTTTCGGCGACAGTATGCTTACTAACTTTGGAACTTTTAAAGGAACATTCCTCGATAACGAGCTGAATGGGCGTAAACTAGCCGGTTGGTGTGGAGTCAGGCAACATTGAGCCTTTCCCATCTTGCGCCTTTTTCCAATTCTATCGCAGGAAGGCGCGTCAGTGAGAAAGGCGGCGCCACTAATGGGACTCCAGTCTACGCCTGTGTGGCGCGGAATGTGATTTCAAACGTGAGTATGTAAAGGCTAAGGGAGAGTTAGCGAACTAATTCTCGCCAATCTATGCGCTAATGTGAAGGCTTCCGAGGTTGTTGACGCTACTTTCTGCTTTAGACGCTCGCCCGAATGCCATGCATGGTTTAACGGTTGACCGGATGTCAGCAGCTATCATAACTTACCCCAGCTTCACGCGATTCCCATGCCAGTGCCATCTACGATTGGCAAATGACGTAGCTCGTCGGTCGATTATTGATTCATCGACCAGTAAAGAGTTGCTGAAACCCAAGTACATGGTTTTTATGGGAGACACGGCGTGAGTTTTAAACCACCAGCACCTTTTTATAGGATATTTCTGCACGAATTGCTAGGGGCGGAGACTCAATAACCACCGCGCTTCTCTCATTGGTTCTAATCTAATTGGAGAGCACCAATGAGAGAGACGTGGTTGCTGTGAGTCTCCGCCCATTTATTATTTTGATCCTTTAATTATACAACAACGTTTTTTCAGGTCATTATTGTGGCAAGATGTCGGCTATACTCCTCCGGCATACTTCACGAGTCGTGGTGATGGAACGAATATCCAGCGAATCACAACAGGTGGGCGTGGCAGGCTGCTGTGATTGGTTGACATCGAGAGTCTACTATATCTTGGTTAAGAGTCATTCGACGAATTTCTGGAGGACGTCAGCGGCGTGGCGTATGATCAACAAGGGTCAAGAGTACTATGGTTGACGTCGAAGAACACTCTGGTCATGGCCATGGACACGAAGACGTGGGCGGTAAGGATGTTGATACGTTTAACTCCCGAAATCCCATTCTGGAGGGGGAGGGGGTGTCCTAGCTTGAGCATGCAGTAAGCGCCGTGTACCTGTTAACTTTGCCCGTTACTCGTTTAGATCACGCCGTACACCTACGCCAACGGCAGCCGCATCGACGCGATCACCACTGATCATTGGACAGGCGATGTTTTTCTGGTTACCGATGGAGTACTGATCAAGAAGAAGTTTGGCACGAAATCTGCGGATTTATGGTAAGAGAGTACCAACAACCTCGGATGGGGGGGGGGAGCGTGTCTGCATATCCAAATCCTGTGAACAGTTAATATAACCTAACAAAAGTTTGTGCTAACATGATGTGCTCCCTCCCGTTCATTAAGTTATCAGCTCCGGTGAGTGTTCTACCGCTTTATAGCAGTGGTACGGCCCGATGTGCAGTACCCCGCCTTCCGAATAAAGCTAGAGATACACTTTATCTTGCACTTCTCACCTTTGCGGATCTGTTAGAATGCAGTCATACGGCCCCGTATTCCGCGTGCGAAATACGGAAAACAGCCTTTGGAGCAGCCTTCTCATAAAATCGGAATGCCTTTAAGGGCATTTCGTAAGTTGGGGAGTTCGTATCCTCAGTCGGGTTTGCAGTTGGGAAGGTCGTATTCGGTTGTTGGGTAGGGGGGGATCGGTCTTCCTTTCAGAAAAAGTTTTCCATACGGTGACTTTCACTGGTTTCTGGTTTTTTTTTCGTTTCATATGCGCTATACAGCTCACTCCTATCTCGAGGCAGTTTTTGGGAGAAATCTGCAATATTTTGGAGAAAAAACTGAAAAAGTGCTAGGAATTCACGTAAATTTAGGAAGATTGTAGGATTCAGATTCGTTTCCATTTACAGGAAGAAGTTCAGAGGCAGGGTGCAGCATTGTTGTGTGAAACACATGGGGGGGGGGCACATTTGATCTTTGTTCGTAGAGGGGGGTCGTATGTGGCTTTGAGAGAAAATTGCTATGTTGGGAAAAAATTTTCCCCTCGACAACAAAATTTTCGGGTGAAAAACTGGAAAATATTTGAAATTGGTAGGTAGGTGCTGGGAAAGGGGGGGGGAGGCGTACCGAAACCCTCCCCTAGGTGGGGAGGGGGGCGGTCGTACCA